AAAAAAAAAAAAAAGAAAAAGAAAAAGAACCCAGACTCTGAAGCCAGGACCACTGAGTTCAAGTCCCTGGTCTGCACTTAGTGGCAAGACCTTGGCACATCACTGAACCACATAGAGCCTCATCTGAGTGATAAATGTTCCCACCTCATGGAGAACCGAATGAGTTTGGCACTGTGTCCAGCACAGCCAGGGCATACGAGGCTTTGCTGACAATGCTGCTCCTGTGAAATGGTGCTAATGGCCATCCCTTCCCCTTTGGAGAGAAGTCCTTTAAATAACACAGTGCTGAGGAAAAGACCCAGCCACCCACCATCTAGACCACACTCTACCCTGGGCTCAGGGCACAGGAGCAGAGCCCCTGCTGCTCAGACCATCCCTGGGCCAGGCTGAGAAGCTGCCTGCTCCCATTCATTCATTTATTTTATTTTATTTTATTTTTGCGGAACCGGGGATTGAACTCAGACCTTTGCACTTGCCAGGGAAGCACTTATTCCACTGAGCCATCTCCCCAGCACTCCTGCTCCCATTCATTCGCTAAGCATTCCCAGGACTGTCCAGGCCCAGCCAGGGCCAGGTATCCCTAGAACATCTTTGAGGAGCGGGCTGGCTGGAGGTAGGGAACACAAACAGGCCACACGTGAGCTCCACTCAGACAGTCGGGGTGTGAGAGTTCCAGAGGGCTTTCCAGTAGGGGCAGCACCTGAGCTGAATCAGGGAGTCCGGGGAACTTACCAGGCGCTAAGCTGCAAGCGGTGCAGGGAGGCCAGGGTAACTCTGGCAGAGGGCACATGGGCACGTGCAAGGCTGCTTTCTATAGACTGCTTTCTCTTCGGCAGGGAACACAGAGGGCTGAGGACGGTGGACAGGGAAGGAAGGCAGGCTAGGAGTCAGACCACCAAGGTCCTTCAGTGCCTCGTAAGGCGAGTGAAGGTCACACTGAAGTTGGGGAAGACCCACACTCAGTGGGTCAACACTCAGTGTTGAAGGGGGCACGGCAAGGGTCAGGGTCCAGTGAGGACGGGCATTGAGGGGTGCTTGCGGGTGGAGGGGGGTGGACACAGCCTCTCTCTATTTGCCAAAACCCTCTTTTAAAAGGCTGTTGCTGGGGCTGGTGAGATGGCTCAGTGGTCTAAAGCACCTACTTAGAACAGGCTTAGCAAAGCACAGGGACCGTGGTTCAATCCCCCAGCACCACATGCCAGCCAGCCCCGCCCCCTGGTGGGCTGAGCTGGCCACACACACACACACAACAAATAAATAAATAAATGTTTAAAAAATAAATAAATGAATAAATAAATAAAATAAAAGGCTGTTGCTGTCAGGATCCTCAGTAGACAGCCGCTATGTGCCCATGCAGTCCCTCCAGTCTGTTCTAAGACACCTTCTCCACACACCACCAGTCAAAGGCCCCAGCAGCACAGCCAAGCCCTCGGGGCCGTCTCTGCCCTTGGAGCCTAATCTCAGCTCCAAAGTCCCTGTGAGAAGATTCCAGGGGAAAGTGCTCTCCAAGGTCATGTCTCAGGACGCTTTTCCACGTGGCCTGTCCCTCACAAGGTCCTGTGCCTGGTGTCTGTCCTCCCCCTGAAAGTCACTCCCGTGGGCACACACGCACACACCTGCTCTGCACCCCCACCAGCTCTGTGGCCTTGGGGCTGTATAAAACACCCCAGAGCCCCGAGCTCAACAGAAAGAGCCCGAGTTCAACACAGAGCCCGTACAGACCTGAGCGGGACAGGGAAACACACCCCAGCCAGATGCCCAGACCGTCTATGGGCAGCTCCCTCACACCGTCAGCCCAGAGTGTCCACTGGCCCTTGGTACTTCTTTGGGGACTGCTTTCTGATTAAGCAGCCAAAGTTTCTACAAGTTCCCCTTCCAAAGAGAACTTGAAAAAGGCCCTTGAAAAGTGAGACCGAGGATGCAGAACTCCCAGCTTAAAGGGGACTTGTCAGTGTCTTCCTGGCCCCAGCCTCTGCTGCCCTCCCTGCGCCTCATTCGGCCCATGTCCATACCCTCCGCAGATGGCTTCCCACATTCTGGATCATCGCAGGGTCACCCACGCTCCTGGAGACAGAGGTTGGTCACCTGAGCCACAGCCCGTGGGCACTCTGGCTCCAAATGCCACCAGCCCGCCTCTTCAAGCTGGGCTCCTCCTCTGCTGCAGCTGCGCCCGCCCCAGCCCACTGTTATCGCCAGCCCCTGCCCGGCCTCTCAGCTGACAGCCCTCAGCCCCTCCTCCTGGAGCCCACACACCCTTTACGGAAGGCTGCTCAGGGACAGCCAGCTGGGCCACCGCCACACCAGGAGCACAGTGTCCAGCTCCTCGGCACCCTGCCCGATTCACTTCTTACCCTACTCTCCCCACTGGGTTTGGCTCCCCACAGCCCCCAGAGGCCTGAGTCCTTCCATCCACAAGGTGTCAGGCTAGAACACTGCAGAGGCCAGGCCACTGCCAGGGGGCCACCCAGAGAGGCTGCCCCACCTGCTAGGACTCCTCACCCTTGGTAGCACGGCCCACGGCCCACTGTTGCACCACGCCAGCCTGCTGGCACCCAGCAGCCGCTGGCTGGAGACAGGGCACACCCCTACTCCCTTAAAATAGGCACTGTGATTCTTCTAAAAGTGGCCCCTGCCAAATTCCACCCTGATGGCCATGAAGGAACCAGCCTCCTGCAGACACCACTGCCCGAGGGGCCATCAGGATTTCCTTCTCCCTCTTGCTTCCACAACAGGCTTGAAGAGGAGGCCTTGACATCACACTAGACTCTGACAGCAATGAAGTGGATGGAGAGAAAAGGACGAGGTGGGGAAAGAGCCATGCAAGGGGGCAGGGTAGAGAATAACAGCAAACACACACACACACACACACACACACACACACACACTTTTGTGTGCACAGTAAGAATGGATCACTGCTGTGAGCTGGGCCTCGTCCCAAGCCCAGGATGGCTCCTCAGCAGAAGAGGTGATATCCCCCCATGCAGTATGCACAGAGGAGAAAAAACAGATCTCCTCTGAACCTAGCTGTCCCACCACTGTGCCCTGTGTCTCTGGGCAGGTGCCTGCCTCTCTCGAGGCTTCCCTGTGGTAGGAGTTGAGGGTGACAACCTCTCCCTGTGAGCTCAGGCCTTGTCTTCACAGAGATGGTCCTCTGTCAGCAGTTCTGTGTCCTCAAATGCAATATTTTTTTTTAAATTTATTTGTGTGTGTGTGTGTGTGTGTGGCCAGCTCAGCCCACCAGGGGGCGGGACTGGCTGGCATGTGGTGCTGGGGGATTGAACCGCAGTCCCTGTGCTCTGCCAAGCTTGCTCTAAGTAGGTGCTTTAGACCACTGAGCCATCTCACCAGTCCCCACACAAATGCAATATTAAAGTCACCAAGATGCCCCTCCAGTAGCCCGAAGGATGGGGCAACCCAGGTGGCTTCCTGGAAGAGGCTGAGAAGGTTTGGAGAGGCTGAGGAAAGAGATGAGGTAGGAGACCTAAAAGTAACCAAATAGGGCATGAAGGAGCCCCTCAAACTGATGAACATCTCAACATGACAAAGGCCATGAGAGGCCCAGGAGAGGGGGCATACGTCCTCCTGGGCTGGCAAGGAAACCAACCCCGTGCTCCTGCCCCCCGCCACCAAGTCCCCAAAACACCTTGACAGGCAGCAGCCAGAGCAATGTCAGGACTTCAGGATTCAGAGGAAGCTCCAGTTCCAGCCTGTGCGCCTGCCACACGCCCCAGGCTCCCTGCAGCCAGCCCAGCACCCCAGCTTTGAGTTGGACAGGGAAAGCCAGGGATGGCAGGCGAGCCCCCTGAGCACTGGCAGGGGAAGGGTGTCTGGAATCACCACTCCTAACTGCCAGCCCAGAGTCCTGCCTCCCACACCCCACACAAGGCTTAAAATGAGACACTGCTGTTAGGCTCAGGAGATGACTGAAAACACAGCTGAGAGCCTTCCACAGAGGCCCCTTCCGCCCGTTCTGTGCTGTTTCCTACAGAACCAGCTCCTGTCTCCCTGCTGCAGCAGCTCTGCAGCATGTGCTACGCAGAGAATATTTCCCTGAGTGTCTGCCTCCGCACTCCCGGTCACCTCAGCCTCCATGGGCTGGGACCACCTCTGACTCATCTCAATGCCCACCAATGAGCCCTGAAACAAAGTTCTTCAATGCACAAAGCATGAAACACATGTGGACGAACCATCGTTCTGGAAGAGCCCAAACTTCAGCCACATCGATGGCTTCTTAAAATACAGGCTGCTGAGCCCCAGCCCCAGACTTTGTAATTCAGCAGAGGTGAAATACAGCCCAAGAGCCCCAGTGAGGCTGAAGCTGCCAGTCCTCGCCCGTGAGCTAGGCCAGCTGTCCCCCTTCATAACACAGATTGTGAAGCCCAGAGATTTTATGGGCAGAACTGAATGGTACCTCACTAGCAGCACCAGCACCAGCATTACCACTATGGTCCCTGTCATTATCACCCTGTCATTTGGCCCTCTCCACACACCTGGCCCTGTGAAAGCACTTCACGCACATTACTGGGCCTCACTAAAAAAGATGCTATGATTATTATTTTCCTGCAAAGGAAAACCCAGTATTGTGGCACCTGTGAGCAGTGGCCAAGCAAGTGAGGTTTTATCAGTCCTTTCAGCCCCTCCACATCACCGGCTGTACCACCTGAGCTCCATCCCCTGTCAGATCAGCGGCATCATTAGAACCTCAAAGGACCCCAAGCCCTACTGTGAGCTACACACGCAAGGGATCTAGGCTGTGTGAGCTCCTTACGGGACTCTGACACCTGACAACTTGAGGTGGAACTGAGGTGGTGATGCTGGTGCAGGGGAGCCACCGCAAATACAGATTAACATGGCAGAGAGCTCTGGCTGCACGGAGACCATAAGAAATCACTGGCTTGCAGATTCATATTAAAGCCCTCTCAGTAAGTACAAGTCATCACTAAACTGCAGCTGGTAGCGGGTCTTGTAGTGACAAGTGAGCTGTACTTCCATTGTGCAGCTGCATTAGGAGAGGCCTTAGGTCAGAATCCCAAACAAATTCTGGTCCACATGTGGTCTGCCACATATTTTATTTGCCACCTTCCTCCATGCCTCTTTCTTTCTTCTTTTTTTTAAATTTTATTTATTTATGTGTATGTGGCCAGCTCAGCCCACCAGGGGGCGGAGCTGGCTGGCATGTGGTGCTGGGGGATTGAACCGTGATCCCTGTGCTTTGCTAAGCTTGTTCTAAGTAGGTGCTTTAGACCACTGAGCCATCTCACCAGCCCCAATGCCTCTTTCTTATACTGCACACTTATCTCAGTCACAACTTTATGTATGTATGTATGTATGTCTGTATGTATGTATGTATTTATTTATTTATTTATTTGGTATAGCTCACTATGCAGCTTGGACTCATAGTGATTCTCCTGTCTCAGCCTCCCCAGCACTAGGATTACAGGTGTGCGACACCATGCCCCATTTTTGTGGCCAGCACAGCACGGGGCTGGCAGCGCATGGCAGTGCCAGGAAACAAACCAGGTCCTTGCGCTTCCTATGCAGGCACTTAGACCACTGAGCTATCTCTCAGTCACAACTCTGTAAAAGCCCACAAGCTAACCTTAGCCAAAATGTTTTAGAGTAAAACCAAAACATCCCTGGAAAATTTCTTTAAAAAGGTGGAGGGCTGGTGAGAGGGCTCAGTGGTCTAAAGCACCTACTTAAAACAAGCTTAGCAAAGCACAGGGACCACGGTTCAATCCCCCAGCACCACATGCCAGCCAGCCCCGCCCCCTGGTGGGCTGAGCTGGCCACACACACACACACACACACACACACACAAAAAAAAATAAAAGTTAAAAAAAAAAAAGGTGGAAAGGCTAGAGGATGAGGCAACAGAAGACTCTAAGATGCCAACAAAAAGAAAGAAAATATCCAGCATTTAAAAGAGAACATTGGCCAGCGAGATAGCTCAGCAAACTAAAGCACCCACTTAGGAAAGCTTAGGCAAGCACAGGAATCACAGTTAGTCCCCAGCACCACGTGCTCTGCCAGTCCCACCCCCACCCCCAGGGAAGGCTGAGTCGGCCACATAAAAGAAAGAAAGAAAAGAAAAGCAAATACTGAGTCTTGGGCTGGGGAGATGGCTCGGCGGCCTAAGTGCCTGCCTGGCAAGCACAAGGACCTGGTTCCATCCCCAGCGCCAATGCAGCCAGCCCTGGAACCCCAGGTGCACTGTGCCAGTCACCGAGCCTGAGCATGATGGCATACGCCTATAACCTCGCACTGGGGAGGCGGAGACAAGGTCAGTACATGTCTGAGCTGTGTAGTGAGACCCTGTACCTAATTAATTAATTAGTTAAAAAACACTTTAAAAAGAAAATATCGAGTCTTACTTAAATCATGGTTCACTGCAATAGGTAATTCACATCCCCCCAAGTCTGATTTCTATGTGGTGACTAACTAGAAGCCATAAAACCCTCAAAACTGCTTCGCTACATGGAGACCAAGCATCCTGCATTAAAGACAAGCCGTTGGAGATTTTCAAGGAAAATCTTGTGAACAGAAAGAACAGAATCAACTATTCAAGGCCGCTCCTTCATCAAATGTGCCTGAGAGCTGTGCCGGCCCCACCCCCAGGGTGGGCCGAGACAGGATGGAGACTGGGCGTGGTAGCGCGTGCCCATAATCACAGCGCTTGGGAGGCTGAAAGCAGGTGGATCGCTATGAGTCCGACCTATATAGTGAGACTCTGTACTAAATACATAAAAAAAAAAAAGAAACCTACAATGTAAACAAGGAACAAAATACAATACAGATAACAGGAAACTGAAAGATGGATCTTTCTCAAATGAGATCAAGAGATGGAAGAGGGGAGGAAAAAGAATCAATACGTATTATGTACAGGTACGGACTCCACACAAAGAAATGTAAACATTGTATACTGAAAATATATACTTTTAAAAACTGACTTTCTAAAGGGACATCACTGGCCAGAGCTTTTGAGTCATGAGGGGCTCCCAAGATAGAAAAACAGGAGTCACAGCAGCACATCACAGTGACACAGTGGGTCACAAAACTTGCTCACTTCTGGGTTCTATTCTACCTGCTCGATGAACTCGATACGTCATTCCAGGGAAGAACGACAGCTGTGTTCAAGACAGCGAA